CCCCCCCCCCCCCAACCCTTTCTTACGCCTACCGGAGAGATGCCTAAGGCACAATAAATAAATAAAATACCAATGTGAACAACGGGAAGTTTTGGTGCGGCTTCAGCCTTGAAAGTGGGAGCGGTCTATCTTTGGGGGGGGGGGAATACAGTATCTTGAATCAAATGATGAAGATGATGATCATTTAATACTTTACAAGCGCTTGTATCCATACAATTTTAGCATCCTCACAGCGCTCTGTTGTACTAAAATCTATATAAAGAAAAAAGTCTTTAAATGTTTATTAAATGACTTTCTATCATTTACTATGTCCCTCAAAGATTGAGTCAAACTGTTCCATAATTTAGGCGCAACCGCTTCAAAAGAGCGCTCTCCGTATGACTTCTTTCTGTGTCCATCCACACAGAGAACTCTCACTGGGAACGTTAATGACTGTGTTGAAGAGCGCAGGTTTTGTAAGGACACATGAATAGAAATTTGTCTTAAATATTCCGATCATCAAATATGAAAAAAAAATAATTTATAAAAATAATTATCGTATTTTCGCTTTATTGCTGTACACATTTTTTCTCTGCTGTTGTTTCTAGATTTGTCTTAAATATTCTGATCATCAGATATATAGAGGGCATCCATAATATTTCATTGGTTACATTATGTCACTTATCTTATTAAAAAGAGCAATAAAAATGACGATTTCAGTAATTTTAAACAAAATAATTAAATATAATAATTATATGTTCGCTTTATTGTTGTAGACAATTTTTCTCTGGGTGGGGGGTGGGGGATGATGTTTGCACGTGACTTTATCCGGAGGAGACATACTTGAAAAAAGCACTGATCGCGTGAAGAAATAAATAGTGCAGCTGCTTGTCTTTGAAATCTATGAGGTGGAGTTTTGAAAATTTCTGCTTGCCATGGTCAGAAGGGCATAGGCATAGGCCTACTTCAGTCAGAAAATACTCAAAAGTATAAAAACATTACAAGAAAAACAAAGAAAAATATTTATAAACCTGTAATCAGACCAGTTGTAACATACGTTGGACCCTAACAAAAAACGTAAGAAAGCCTGTTAAACGGAAGATAAAAGTTATCCGGAAAATATATGGACCAAAAAAGGATGAATATGAATAGAGAATACGAATTAACCAGGAATCGTAAAGTCTATGTCAGGATCCAACACTAGTAGCTGAAGTAAAAAAAAAAAAAGGGGGGGGGTACGCTGGGTGGTACACTTAGAAAGAATGACAGATGAGTGAAGAGGGTACATCACCAAAACCCCAGGAGATAACGGAAAAGAAAAGCATTAGTTAGATCTGAGTGGAAGGAAATGGTGAGGCAAGCCAAACCCGTACAAGGGCTGTAGCGCCACAGGGATGGATGGATGGTTATATGGTCTGGCGTTCATGTCTGTTGTCACCGTCAGCAAGATATTGCTTGCAGAGTTTTACTATGCAAATTGATGTAACCTTTACAAATGTCCGAGCTCCAAACCGGTTCTTCGCCAAATACAGAGAAGAAGGATTGCGTCAGGAAAAAATGGTAACAGTAACAGAACCGAACTCTGAGTCGGTGTTTTAAAGAGTGCCGCGTAAGGCGAAGAATGGGGCAGTTTGAAAGATGGATCCAGAGAGAGATGAGAAACAATTGACTCCTGAAGAATCTTTCAGGATAGTTCTTATGGAAGTTAAACAGATGTTGGAATCCTTGAAGACATGTTTCCAACAACTGCAACTGTGCGTTGATATTTTTGGCTTTCTATATGGTTTTAGTATACTACTACATACTGGGCCGTCTAAAGAACATAGGGGGCCCTGGGCACAGCAATGCACTTAGGCCCCCCAGCAACAGAATACTCAAGGGTTGTTAAAGGGGGGGGGGGGCAAAGTGGGTCACTTGCCACATGCACAAACAATTCGGGAAAGGGGGGGGGGGAACAGTTGTTGCTCTCGAACCAACTCACCCAGAGGAATAAAATTGTAAATAAGAATAAACATTCAATAAAGTTAAATAAAAATAGGTTAATTCAAATTATTTATGCAAAAACAAAATCATTCCAATTCAATAATGGTTTTAAACATCAGAAATACATTATAATTCATCCCAGACGATGATAAAATATCAGGTTCTCAATTTAGTTTCTGCCTCACGTTTCGTTTTTTATTTTCCTGATCAATGTCAGCTTACACAGTGTTCAGAGCATCTTGTATTTTTGTCGAAACGTTGATGGCATCAAAATGTGCCAGCCATCTTGTGTCAGACAGATGCTTTACGACAACGAGAGATTTTCCTAAGGAAAATACCAGAACATTCCATCGATGTATAGAAGCTGAGAAAAGGGTATATGGCACTGTAGAAAGTCAAAGAATTTTCCAACTTGTTGACAACACGCTGCTGCTTTTAAGTCCACTAAGTTCAGACGGTGTCCAACACAAGGAACATTCACGGAAAACTCGTTCAATTGACGCAGCAGTGCTTGCAATCCATTGTAGCGTCCAATAGACATATAAATTTAAAGCTTTGTCATACGATTGACCACGGCAAATTTAAGGCGGAATTTTGTTCTCAATCAGGAAATCCAAAACATTGTCTGCTAGATCTTTTGATACACAACAGCGTCTGTTAGATCCTTTGCTCCATGGGAAAATATGGAAATTAACTTGATAAAACGTTCCACAGACTTACATCCTCGAATGTACCGGACCGTAATGTCAGTTGATCAATGTGAGAAATGTCTGAAGTGGAATCATAACTTATTGAATAATACTCTGACTCTATAATTTCTTCCAGAATAGGACATGTTGTCCCATTAGATCAATAGATTATTTTCAAATATTTGGCGACAGATATGATGTGTATACCCTTTCTAGCATTTCCATTATAGTTTGAGATGCTCCTCCAAAAAAAAAAAAAAAAAAAAAAAAGGATTACATTCACTCAAATAAATAAATGAAGGGACTGCTTTCAAGCTATGTAAAAGAATGAAATAGTGAAACGAGGTATGTGGAAGCTTGAAATAAGGTAACAGGGCAAAAAACAAGGACGTTTCGGCATAAAGCCTTCATCAGCCAACAATAGAAATGAAAATGTTGTATTTTCATTTCTATTGTTGGCTGATGAAGGCTTTATGCCGAAACGTCCTTGTTTTTTGTCCTGTTACCTTATTTCAAGCTTCCACATACCTCGTTTCACTATTTCATTCTTTTACATTCACTCAACAGCTCTAAAATACCTTCACAATTTCCATTGCTTACTGGAGTCAAGAATGCGAACGACATAAACCCCACGAGTCAGAACTTGATGCCAGTACTTCTGTTTTGACCTATGGTCTTTGATTAATAAAGGACCTAAACACCTAGCGTCTCTCGGTCGAAGTAAATATGTGGTCATATCCTTGCAATGCACTACTCCATTTTCATGTTCTATAATAATATTTGTATGTTTCCAATAATTGAATACTGATATAGCAAAGGGAAATACTTTTTTGGACAATAGACGACACGCAGAACAATACCAACAATACCTTGGTATGGTGAAGAGAGAAGCCATTCAAGTTTTACACACTCGTCATTCCGCAGTTCACGTTTGAACATATTTCTTGATAATTACCTTGTCTTGGTTCTTTCTTCTCCAGCTCTGACTGAGTTTTAAATGTTGCAGTCATGATTCTGACACAATGGTGGCCCACCGCGAATCCAGTACTCAACTGTACAAGTGTTATTAATATTCCAAAGCCCGGGATCTGGTTTGTGAATCACAATATCATTTTCTGACACAGCTTTTTCAGTTTTTACAATTTCCCCAGCAGAGGAAATGGGTAATGAAATGGCCTGGAACTAGATGGCTGGATCGAATAGAGGATGTAGATGACGCTACTTTATTTTGAGGAGCAGTATTAGTCACTGATATTTCGATTGGATTTAATCAAGATGCACATTTTGCAAGTTTATCCGTTTTCCTTGTCTCTTCGGCTCTTTTTCTCTTCTGTGCTCCAATTATAAAACTCATTTTCTATTCCCGTTTAAGGGGTTAAAAACACCCAGAAATATATTCGTTGGTTACAAATATTTCTATAGTAATAACAGCAATCTGTTTAAAATGAATTTGTCTGTCCCTTCAGACTGACATTTGCCCCTCTAAAACGAACATCGGCAAATGATCAATAGCCATGGTGCAATAAATAAAATCGATCTCTGTGTTTGAGCTACCCGATATGTAAGATGAAAATGACTTTGATCTTTAAACAGTGAGCACAATTATTTCTAAATGACAATATATTTATGCCTACATCTCAGACATACGGTGACTGTCGGGTTCTATTTTTCATCTAAATATGTTTTTCAGACATAGAATTCAAATATTTTTCTGTTTAAAAAATATAAAGTCATTTGGGTTTTGTTTCTGTTTCTTTTTAAAATAAATTTACCTTTGAAAAGAACTATTTATTATTGGAGACCTACAAAATTCCTTATGTAATGCTAATTAATTCAGTAGTACTTGGTATCTCACACAGCAGACGGCATGCAGAGCCTCGTATCCAGCCTATCCGCTGTCTGCAAAGAGTTTGGCCTGACAATTAGCCTAAAGAAAACTAACATTATGGCACAGGGCGCAGACTCCCTCCCCACTATCGCCATCGACGACTACGACTTGGATACTGTTGACAGATTCACATATCTGGGATCCAACATATCGAGCACCCTCTCAATGGAGGATGAGATAAGTGGGAGGATAGGGAAGGCCGCAACTGTTATGGCCAGACTGAAGAAAAGAGTCTGGTCAAACGCCAAAC